AAAAAAAAAAAAAAAAAAAAAAAAAAAAAAAAAAAAAAAACCCAACCATCTTACAGAATAGCCTGGGACCTGATGACGACAGAGGCATGGGAAGTGGTTCCTAGCTGCCCTGCTAGAGAACCCTTAATGGTAGGCAGTGAGGGGAGAGCCTTCACAAAGGGCCCAACCCTTTCTGTTTTGGAAGCCTGGTGGCAGGGAATCCTGAGGATCTTAAAGTTCAGAGAGTCCCCAGCTTGCCTGCTGGAAAATCGTACGGGGCAAGAGCAGCAGCATGTTCTTTGGCCCTTCTGGAGGCTCCAGCCCCTAGGATTGGCCTTTGCACAATAGCCTGGGGTTTCCCCAGCCAGGTCTCCTTCTACAACTCAGAGAGATGATTGCCCTTTGTGACGGGACGAAATGTCTGGCATGGTGGGCTGTGGCTGCTGGGAAGGGGCCAGTTGGGTCCAAAGTTTCTTTTTGAGTTTGGCCAGTGGTGGTTCCTGTTCTGTTGACTTTAAAAGTACAGCAGCAGCAGCAGCAGCATCAAGAACTCCTAATCTCTTCAGATGCCTCCTAGTCTCTTCAGATGTTCTGCCTGGGGCTTCAGCCTTCATAGCTGGCTTTTGGATATCTGCCGGTGGGTTAGAGTTTTCTCAGCAGCAGGTGGAGAACAGGATGCTGGCTCAGTCATTTGGCACTAGAGCTCTACTGGTACCCCATCTCCTTGGCCATCCACAAGTCTGCACAAGCAGCAATGTCCATCTGTTCAGCAGAATTGTACTGAGCACCTCCCATATGCCAGGCACTGGTGCGTGTACCAGAAACCCAGCAGTGACTGAAACAGACAAAAATCCTGCTGTCTTGGATCTTTACAGATGATAAACAAATGAGATATATAGTATTCTGGATGGTGATGTGTGTCATGGACAAAGTAAATCAGAGAAGAGTGGGAGGGGGTGCAAGACTGGGAGGTGGGTTGTGATTTTAAATTGGCTGGTCAGTGAGGGCCTCAACTGAGAGGGTGAAATTTGAACAAAGACCTGAAGGAGGTCAGGGAGTGTGCCATGTGTATTTCTAGAGAGAGTTGCAGGCAGAGGAGGTGCAGTCTTGTCTGGTGTCCCTAGGGAATAGCAAGGGGGCCCCTGGGGTAGAGTGGAGTGAGCCAGCTGGAAAAGGAGGAGAAGGGGTCAGAGAGGAGACAGGCCAGGCTGTGTGAGCATCACAGGTCATCCGTAAGGCTTGGGCAACCTCAGGGAGGTAGGGAGCTTTTGAACAGTTTTGAGTTGAGTGATATGACCTGAATCTGAATAAAATTTTATAAGCGTTGGGCCGGCCTGTGGCTCACTCGGGAGAGTGCGGTGCTGATAACACCAGGGCCACGGGTTCGGATCCTATATAGGGATGGCCAGTTTGCTCACTGGGTGAGCATGGTGCTGACAACACCAAATCAAGGGTTAAGATCCCCTTACCGGTCATCTTTAAAAAAAAAAAAAAAAATTTATAAGCGTTAACCACAGTCCCAAGAATTCAGAAAAATGGTATGGCTGAAAGGTTTTTATGCAGTTATCTCTTGTGCCAGTTTCTGTGAATGGGACTCCCCATTTCTGAATTTTCTGTTGAGTCCTCCATCCCTCAGCAGATGTAAATACTGCATTTAATTTAGATCTCTAGTCTCTGCTCACTGCAGGCACCCTCTCACCTTCATGTAGCCCTCCATGTGTAGGGTCTGGCACTGGCATTAGGTTTAACGCAAAGGTACCAGTGCACATGCCTGCTGCCCTCAGAAGAAAAGGTGGCCTGGTGAGGAGGTGCCCCCATCTCACTTGCCAACCCACTTGTATTGAAGGTAAGAGACATCTCAGTGATATAAAGCAAAGGAGCGATATTTCTAAAGTTTATGTAAGTAATCATTGTTTCTGATTATTGAAGAGCTCAGATTGTAAACATAAGGATAAAATGTCTCAATAGTAGAACAACGTCTCAGACTGCACTTTACTGCTGTGAATAGGGACATACTCGTGGAGCAGGGTGTTTCTTGGAATGAGATGAAACCAACCTGGAAATGTCTTTTTCAGTAGAGTGCAGAGTAATCTTATCCTCTGGATTGCCATGGGCAGTTGAAAATGAAGGTTCTGATATTGTATGGTGGTGTCTTACGGGATGGGTAGAGGGTGGAGCAGGCTCCTCCTGTTGATGTTCTGGTGCCCATCCAGCGTTGTACGTGGGAAGGTTTGGCAGTGCCATCCTCTTGCCTTCCTACAGTAGCAGCTGCCCACGGGCTAGAATCAAGTGTCCCTTCACTGATACAGTTCCTAAAACTGGCACTAGAAGTGGCTGGGTATGGGCCAGAGTTCTGTGTGCTTAGGGGCCAGGGTAATGGGAAGGGCTTGGAGTATTCAGATCTGGGTTCCAGGTCTGGTGTGCCTTTTCATGGTGATCTTGGGCAAACCATTGAACCTCTGCGTTGATTTTTTCATGTGTGTAAAATTAAGAGTATCTGGCTGGGCTGCTTGACTCCTGGGATTCATAAAAGAGGGTTTGGTTTACTAAGGCTCTGGGTTAGGTGTTGACCTCTAGGACCAGAGTCCTCACAGAGGTGCCGTTCCCATGTCAGTTGGTGCCACAATCATAGAAATACCTTTACTAATACCATATTTTCACTCCCCCACTCCCTGTGCATCTGGCACCTCATAAAGTTCCTGCCTTGTTTTTGTTGCCATTTTTTGTAGAATGAGATATACTTATCTTTAGACATTCCAATCAAATTTTTAAATGTACAAAGATGAAATAGAAGTCCTTTCTATACTGAATATTAATTAACAGCTAATATTTTGGGATTGTACTGATGCAGTCTGTTCAATAACCTGAGTTTTCAGATAATCTTAGTTCTATAAGTAACATATGATTATTATAGAAATATTAGTAAATACAGATTAATTAAAAGAAGAAAAAGGTAAAAATCTGACTACTTAGAGCTAACTGCTAAGCATTTTGGTGTAATCAGTGTAGGATTTGATTTCACCACCCCTCCCTGACACTCCTGGACTGTCCTGCCTTGTGCTGCCTCCCTTCACCTGAGTACCACACCTCTGTCTGTGCCAGTTCAGGTCTTTAATCTCCAAGGCCAGGCCTGACCTGACACTCATCCCTCTAAGCCCTCTCCCCTGGCCCCACCTCTCCTGGTGCCTGTATCTGGTTCTGTTAGGTGTTGTCTGGGTTTCCAGCTATGCCCATCACCACAGCTAGACCAAACACTGGGGGGGGCAGGGTTGGGTGCTTATTTATCTGTTTGCCATGCAGAGGAGATTTTGCACAAAGTTGCCTTTTAAGGAAGCTAGAACTGAATTTAGTTCAGCTAAGTCAGGGCTGGGGTTTTTTGAAGGGGCCTTGGAGTGAAATGTTGACTGGAAGCCACCACAAGCACACACCTGGCTAGTTAGGCACCCAGCTGTGGGTGGTTCTGAGCTGCATAGCTCCGTTCAGTTTCTGGTTGCCCCAGCCACCATTCTCATTTTGTACCCCCATCTTGGCCTGGAGAATTTGCTTCTTCCAACCCTGCCTGCTTATTCTCCACTTAACTTGTTTTTCACTTTTTCTGTAAAATGGGATAGTAGTACCAATCTCACTGGGTGATTGGGGGTGGGGGTACAGTCAGTGAAATAATGCATGTAAAGCTCTTAGGATAGTCTCTGGCATGTGAGCATTGTTGGCATATAAATAGTGTTGTTACTGTTTTGCAGTCGTCTGTTTTCTGTGGGTTGAAATGACATGAAGTGAGAGTATAAAATCATGTACTGAAATGACATATGCAAGTCTCTGCTCTTCCTTCCCAGGGCAGGAGATGCTGATGGAGTCAGGGAGGGCACACGGGGGCTTCAGTGGGTTTTTTTTTTCCTTTCCAAAAATTAATGCAGATGCATCACAATGTTAAGATTCAACAGGATAGTGTGGTGGGTTCTTTTTAACTGTCTACTTAATTTCAAAATAAAAAAATGCTTTTTAAGCATGGGGTCTGACATCTTATGATTTTATAGAAATCCTAGCTCCACCATTTGCATGATGTTACTTGGAGTGAGCGATTTAATCTCTCAAGGCTTCGGTTTCCTTACCTGCAAGGATTGGGAGCAACACAAATGGCTACTAGTAAAGGAATGGTTAAGTAACCCCGGTACATCTCTGATAGAATACCATGCCACAGTTTAAAAAAAGAGGATGTTCTCCATATACTGACACATGATCTCCAAGACATGCGGTTTAAAGAAATTATAACCCCATTTTCTTTAATTCCTCCTCACCTAAAAAATAAAAAGTGAAGCCAGAAGCTATAGACCCAATATTTTAATGAAGAAATGGAATTTTGAGGATAGAGATGCTTGTCAGCCATTCCACTTTGTTAGATAACG